CCAACAAACGCTATGACATGGCCTTTCACCCGTGACCCATATTGAGAGAATTAAAGCAGTTTATGTATTTCTTTATCCCTGCCACATTAATTATGCACATGACAAACATGACTGTAAGTGTACGTACAGAGATTGTAACATAACGTTGTTTTGTCCATTTTAAGGGTCAGTACTACCTTAAATATATGTTGACATATGCAGTGTACCCTTAGAGCATGGCAGCTCTATTTATTATAATTGGTGGTAAGTGACAGCCAGGATTTAAACCTGCATAATCAAGAGTTATGCCAAAATCTGTCCATAATAATCAGTAACAAATTTTCAGAAGTTCATTAAAATACTCAGGTTCTTTTGTTAAATATTTTCGGTGAAGTGAAAACAAATTCAAGATATAGTAGTTTAGTTGTTAAACCAGTTGTGGTTCCAGATCCCACTTAGTCTGAGCCTTCATTTCTTCAAGAAAATTTGTAACTTCACAAAATAGTGTACCACCCTTAAAATTTCTGTAGTTAAACATTGTACCACAAAATACTTTTAAATCAACTTCTCGTGCTTAAATTCACATCAAGCATGAATCCCCCTATTATCTTTATAATTAGTGAAGACCCTTATTGTCAACTACATTGAAATGATTCTTTTGTGTGTAAGATATTGTTAATTTGTTTTATACAGTAATATATCATTATCATATACTCAGCTTTATTATCTTGCATATCTCATGACAGTGATATAGTTTTAACCTTGACCTGTTTGAACTAGTTTACTGGAATTTCTGTAAACTTGTAGTCATATATGACCAACAAATTAGCTAATTTTTATATTTAAAAAGTGCACAGGTATATGTAATTCTTGGTATCTTAGTTAATAATAATTTTTTCATCTTAACTTTCCATTAGGGTTTGTCATTATTCAAAGTAAAATTATAAGATTAGCTTTGGGTAATGCTATAGATGTGTTAGGCAAAGTGTTATTTTCATCATATTTACTTTTCCTTTATAGAACTCACCTTTCTTCCAAAACTATGACCTGATCATGAAGGAAGGGCTCTTAGGTGATGGAAGTTTTTCCATTTGTAGGTAGGAAGTTGAACTGCTGTAAATGCTAATTTGTTTCATATTAATTTATTAGTAGGATTCTTTCAATCCTTATTTTGTACAACAAGTTTAAAATTATGAAAGCTTTTCAGACTCTCAAAGAGATAAGTTATAGTTTTTCTTTAGTGTTTCAGAAGTGAATAACTCATATTACTCAATTTTCAGAGCTAATTAAAAGTGGAATCAGAGATAGGGATGTGTGGTAGAAAATAAACGTTTGTAAAATAAACAAAACTTGATTGGAACATAAAAGTACCGTAAAACCTCACTAATCCAAACACATTTGTAATAAAGTAGTTCTTCTGAATTATTGAAACATGTGGATAGTTGAATCAGTCATTTCAAATACAATGGAAACTATTAATAGCATACATTATACAACAATTAATATAAGGATGTAAATTAGTAAGAATTGCCATGCAACTGATAAATAGAAAGCAATTGTATTTACAATAAAGTTATGTTTATTTTATATGTTATCAGTAATTATACAAATTGCATAATGAAAGTGACATATTATGTCATTATCTTCACCTAAATTATAATTATGTTCAAACTAGTGACTTTTTTATAGAACACAAAATACACAATAAATGTATTGTTTTCTTGTATTAATAACTATCATGTTTTAATGATGCTGATCTTTATTTTAGAGCACTGTGACTTGAGATGAACTGTAGCTTAAATCACTCTAATGACCTCTAGATGTCTGTTATAGTTTATAAGTACATCCCTACTGTGAAGGTTGTTTTCAGAAAAATTGTGGTAAACTGATACCCATTGGAAGTGTAGGTGTTTTGTGGTTAGTATTTATGACCTCTTTTTTTTTCCTGTCCTGATCAACTTCTACTTGATTGATATGGAATCATGTATCCACAGGAAATTCATTATTGTTATAAGATATAACTGCTTGGATCCAGATCACAAGTATATGAATTATGGATTAAATATTCCAGTGTGAAGATTTGTCTACATAAAACACCATCTTGATTGTGAAAAATCTGAATTGTTGGTGTATGGACTAACCAGGGTTCACTTTATGTACATACGTGCATGTAGGTTTGCAGAATCATCAAACTCTTCATGATACAGAGGATGGGAGACTAACATCTGCTGCATATTAGTTAAAATAGATTGACTTAATGTTTTAAATATATATTATATAATCTATATACATTTAATTAAATAAAATGAAAACTTCTAAAGAGATCTTTGATATACTGCACTGCATAGATACACTGGAGCTTGTAAAGTGATTATGTCATGTTTAAAATAATTTCTCTACTGAAGGGCAGGTGTAGTACCAACAAAGATGATGTCTTTGTACTATAAAGGAGTCACGTTTGTTTGACTCATTTTATTCTTGAATATGCTAAATTAATATAAAATACAATACATTTCCACCCAGTTTTAGAAGGGGGTGGAGATATAGCAAGATAAAACTTTTTTGAGATGGCAAAAAGTATTTTTAATTTTAACATGAAAATTACTTTGCACATGGACTATTCAAAACAAATACTCAATATATTCATGGATAGAACTTTATTTTATTTTATTAGAAGTACTTCACTAAGAAATATGACTTTTTATATGTAAAAGACTTGTAATATTAATTGAAAGACTACCAAATGTCGTGAAGATATACCCAATATATAGAGAGTTATAAGTATTAAATTTATGTCAACTTTAAACGAATACAGAAGGTCATATGACTCGGTCCTAGGGACCGAGCCCATGTTGAAAGATTTAACAAGTTGGTAGAATGATCTTGAGAAAACATATAGTGGTGTTTAAAGAGTGTATTTTAGACATCAAGTGAAAAATAAATAATACAAATATTTTGATATACATATATTCTCAAATTTCCTTTGTGTAATCCCTAAAACCTCCTAAATGCATTTCAAACTTTTTTTTTCACTAAATACTTATAGTTTATATGTTATTTTCTCTACCCTAATCTCAAAACTGGATCGGTCCATTCGACCGACCTCGTAACCACCAAAAAAAAATCTAAATTAACCGTCTTTTATTTATAGTATGACTTTAAATTGTAACCTGAAACTACATTCGTTTATCGTAAGTAGTTCTAAGTTCATAACATTATACATCTATTTATAATTAATTTTTATTGTTTTATTGCACTATGAACCATGTCTAACTGCTTTCCGCACCATTATAAGTTGTAATTCACTCAGGGAACGTGCAGCTCACGTTACACTATCGAATTACATTACCGATGAGCTGCTCACGTGCTTCGTGAACAATTTTAATTAAATTATTATTATTACTTATTTTACCTATTCTAGTCTTAAATAACTTAAAAGATCTGTACTTTTAATTTTAATTACTTTTATAATAATAAAAAAAGATTAAAAGTAAAAAACTAGAAATAAAGTATTTACCCAATCTTCTTTTTTCTTGCACTCAATTGTTGAGTAGAGTTAAGCATGATTTTTTTTAGCGATTATGGTAAAGCACTTAACAATTTTTATTTACTTAAATAATACACCAAACAATATAGACTAATAACATGCAAAAGTAGAAAAATTCACTTACTTCTAAAATATTTTCCTGGCTTTCTAACTATGAGACAAGAGCTGTTACAAATTCATCCAAGCTAGTCGTTAACTTTCGCACAGGAACGAAGTTGCTACTCTGAGTGACATTGACATTGTTCAGAACACAGTGCTATACAATACACCATTTGATAGATGAAAACCTTAC